GGGTAAGGCTCTATAGTCCATCCTCATAGTAGTGGGGACTTTAATCTCAAAATCCCAAGCCTATTTTCCTGTTAGCCAAGAGGAGAACTTAGGTAAAGAGAGCAGTGGGCCTTCAATTTTTTTAATGCATTCAGGGAGGATACTGTGGGTGCCTTACCCAGGGAGGCAGGTGAAGGGCAGGAGGAGGTGAATTGACGCCTCTTGGTACGTCAGATGCTCCCCAGTCTGGCTGAGCTCTGGCCAGTGCCATGGAAAAGCCATCTCTTGCTGTGGCTGGATACTACCCACTGCAAAGCAGAGGCTCCCTGCTCCCCTCAAACTAAACAATAAGAAAAATAGGGATGTAACAAGAAAGGGAGCAAGCACAGTAATTCAGTTCCTCACCTCCCATTCCACAGAGTATAAATACTGTTTTGATGTTCAATAGACCAGCTTCACAGAGGAGCAGAAAGAAAAATATGCAGCTGAAGTACCCATATTCCTCTCCTGCTGGCTCCCTGTCTTCTTTTCACAGGGCTGGGCACAACCTGAGGAGACGTGGCATGAACTCCTCAATTTTGGGCTCTATGATCTGCTGTTAATGAAGAATATTTTCAGGACACTCATATTAGAGGAGTAGCATTACACCCTACTAATGCTAGTTACACCCCTGGCTATCTGAGTGAAAAAGCCAAACCCAAATAAACCCAACTTTGTTTCCCAGGTGGGTCCATGAGACCACAGCAGTGGTGGACACCAGGCTGTGCTGAGACTTAGGTTAGGCAGTGCCCACACGGTGTCAGCAAGCCATTGGCTCTTGTGGCTGCAGCCGCTCAAATATCAAAGAGGTGGTGACATCTTATGACCAGAATCAACCTTTTTTGGTACTGGTACTACCCAAAACAAAAATTGATCACTTGCATATTTGATGGGGGGAAACTCCTAAAGTCTTCTATTTCTTTTTGACACTGCAGTCAAAAAGTAATATGGATTTTGTTACATTCAACATCTGGTCCAAAAATGTGCATTTCCACTAAGGAAAACACAAACCAGAAAAAGCAAGCCAAAACAAACACACACAAAATGTTACTATTGTTTTTACATATTTTATCCAGATAGGATTTTTAATATGTACAGAAACTGTATCTGATGTTATGCAGTTGGGTCTAGATATGGAACTTGAAAAGATTGATTTCTTTTCATGCGTATCATTTTGTTTTATTTCAGCCTTCGCAAGTCTTTTTCTACTTAACTGGCAACAGACAACCCTCAAATTGCATTTTCAGTGTATGATTTATATAGGTATAAAAATACGTGGGATAAGAAAGCTTTAACGTTATATTTCACAATTCATTTAACAAAGTAGCAGCAGTTAGAAAATTTTACTTGGCAAGATCATACCAGGGTGGGACTGGGCCTGTATGTGGAAAAGGGACCTAAGGAATGTTCCTACGATTAGTCTGAGGCAGCACAGTTCAGCGATGGGAATTTGCTCTGGGAGGTAGATCTTGCTGTAAGCCATTCAAGATTAGATATGAGGCACTGACATATGACAAATGAAACGGGTGAGAGAGTGGGTCTTACGAGCTAATGATTTTCAATCTTTAATCAGGCACCTTGCTTGGCATAGTGTATTAGATTGCGTAAATAAGTACCTTTAAGGCTCAGGGTCAAAGCTTCGATGGGAATTTTGCTGAGGAAAACTGAGCTGGAGGGACATCTAGGAAGAAAAACGTTAGTCGCTCTTCATTCACAGCATTGAACGAACAGGGTCAAGTCCTGCCACCTTTGCCAGGTCCAGCGGCACCTTGCTGGCAAGAGGAAAGCTGCTTGAGATACCATGCAGACAGACATACCTCTGGGAAAGCTGGAGTGTGCTGAGAGGAACGCTCCGCAGCATCTGGGTGGAAAGAGGGAAAAAAAAGTCTTGCCTAGAATCTGCTTAGTTTGGGCCTTGTATTCCCTGACCTCCAAGTTTTTGGGCACAATTTTATACCCACAGCTGACTGTGGGCACACAAATTATAGCATTCAGGAATTTAACTACCTGATGATTGGGCCTGCACTCAGTGTTGTAACCCCAAGCATTCCACATTCATGAGAGAAGCCTCCAAAAAAATAAAAAAACCTGCGAGGTTGGCTTCAGGATCATGAATTAATACTTTTTGAAACTTCTGCTTTTTTGAGCCTGCGTGGCTTGCATTTGCAAGTTCTTCCACCATCATAAACAGTGGGAACCTTTGAAAAAATACAGCAGTGAAATAAGATTTCTGTACAGCAAAATGACTCACAAAACTGGACCATCAGAAAGACATCAACAAAAAGAGAAATCAAGACTTGGGATAACGTTGCTGGAGATTGTACTACAGAGGGTGTTGGGCAGTGCTTTATATAAATGGCAGCATCTCAACCAAAGGCAAACACACAGAGGCAAACATATATATGCACACACATCCATATATAAATATACATATACAAAGATATCACCCAGAGCACCAGAATGGGTGAGATCATGGTTTTTTTTCAGGAATAATGACACTTGCTATTGTATCCGGGAAGCACATCCACCAGAGAGAAGGAGGATCCATGGAACACTGTCCAGAGGGTTGAGCCCACACAAGACTAAGGAGCCTCACAAGCTTCACCTCCTCCCACTCCCTAAGCAAGTTACTGACTTGGCCTTTTCAAACTAAAAAACAGCCATCACAAACACATGCAGAACCTGACTAAACATGTATTAAACCACAAACCCGTTCTTCACCAAGGTTTACTACTTAGGGAGAAGAGGAGCACAAATCAGGTGTGGCAGATCCATTGCATTGGTAATGCTTAGAAGTCCTTAGATTTTAGTGCTCTTTGGTGAGGATGTAGAGAAGGTTGACTCTGTCCACCTTTTGTCATGGATTTTGCTACAGTTTTTGTGGCTGCAAATGCATGTTGACGCATTTTTGAGACAGCTGTAGAAACACAGTATTTTAAAAAAAACTTATTTCAGCAATATCAAGCAAAGCTTATTAGCACTTTTACACGTATCTACATGCAAATCTAAATACCAACAGATTATTTTAACCTGTATTTGTGGAACAGGATTTGAATCTTGTTTGAGGATCTTTGAAAAATCACATCCTTCTGCACAGGCACGAAGTAGAGACAGAGGATTCCTGAAAGACCCTGGTGTATTTCATAAGGCATTCCTCTACTCACTGCCACTGAAATGCTGCGGCTCCAGCATAAGGTGGCAAGTTTTCTGGCTTCTCTTTTTTTTTTTTTCTGTAGGAAAGGCAGGAAGGTGATACAGCTAGTTGGAGAGCACAGGGGCCTTTCCAGTGTCCATCAAAAGCTGCTCATCACAACTTTGCTGATTTTCTTTTTGGAGTAGTTGCAGCTATGGGAGCTTCTTCCTTAACTCAGTAAACCTTCCTGGAAATCACCTTTTCTGCCTCTGAAAGGCTAACTTGACCTTGACCTGGGAAAAAACGGTGGTTCCAGAAGGTCTAAGGTATTTTTGAATGGGATGCTCAGCTATCTTGTACTTGCTACTGTATGTTGGCAAGGAGAATCAAACCCAAACATTCTCTTTAATATTGAAACCCCAGAAATTTGGGAAAAAACAAAACATACAATTTAAGCGAAACTCAAACAACTCAGGAGGGTGCCCTCTATTTGCAGGGATAACCAGATCTGTACAGCTTTTATTTTAAGGCCGGTTTCTTAAGCAGTAAGCATTTTTTACTTCCCTTATACTTCATTATGCCATTGTACTCAGATTTCGGCCCTTTTATCCTTTGCCCATTTCAGTCATGTTCTGGGATCTGCAATGAAACCACTACAGGAGATGGTCTGCAGCATCAGTAATGCTTTGAGACAAGCTCAGTAGCTCATATTTCTTTGTTAGCATCCCATTGCGAAGGGGAAAGATCAGTTTGCTTTGTTCTTAGGCCTTGATTTTCATAAGCTAATGATGACTGTGGGTGTAATTGTGGTCAGGCTTAAGTGGTAGCACGAGGGCAGAAAAACAGAGAGGCGCTTCCGTGAGGCTGATTTCCCCTCCGCCATGCGCACGGAGCGGGAGGGCATCTGCTTGCCGTCCCCCCAGGCATACCCCCGTGCCCAGGGAAGGAGGGATATGCCAGACGTCATGCGGCTCGGCAGCAGCGGAGGCGGGAGGTCGGGAGCGGAGTGTGAGCCCAAGCACCCGCCAGTGTTTGGGTCCCTTCTAGGGACCATCTGACACTGGATTAACCTCCTCTATATTAATCTCCTCTAGCAATACCAATAATAAAATACTCCTCTTTGGCTCACAGCTGAGCAGGACCTGTCACTGGGTTTTGTATCTTCCAATGTTCTGCAACTGTTGCTCTGGTGCAAAAAATGTATTTGTGGCTGAATATCTGCTTGATATTTGGGCTTGATACTGAAAAGACTGCTGCTTCTAAAGGGGATGGTATGCTCTGTGGGTTAAATAGTTAATAGGTATGCTGGCATTGCCACTGCTGGTATAGGCAAAATTTTTAATTATGCAGTGAACATGACTGCCTATTCAGCCACACAGTATATACTGTTGTGTCATGTTAAAGCTGGTGAAAAATGTTTAAACGTTCTTTGAACATTACTTAAGTCAATTAAGGTTAAATATTCTGAATCTTAAAACTCTTTAAAAAACCATTTTTTTTCTGTTTTCAAAATGACAATGGCTTGAATTTTTTTTTAAAGTCACTGGAGTCCCATGAATTACTTTGTCTCTAAAGACATCTTCTGAAATTTCAGAAGATCTCCGATATTTGCAAACAGAATGCGAATATTTCTAATAAAATGACAAACACTGCATTACCAACCAGGCACCATGTAAAACAAAATATGTTATGAGCATTCTGCTGGGAGATGAGAAGATTTATAAGCATGCCTTTGAAAAATTTCAACCAGTAGTAATGAGTATTCATATGAACTAAACCAACTGAGATTTAGGCAAGCTTGCAATACCGTTTTCCTGCAGTAACAATATGCAAATGTCTGTACACATAGGTTCTTGAAGAGAGAATGAAATTGGAGTGCAAGTGTCATGGAGTTTCAGGTTCGTGTACAACTAAGACCTGCTGGACCACACTTCCTAAATTCAGAGAGATTGGATATATTTTGAAAGAGAAATACAATGCTGCAGTGCAAGTGGAGGTGGTACGAGCCAGTAGACTAAGACAGCCAACCTTCCTGAAGATCAAGCAGATTAAGAGCTACCAGAAACCCATGGAAACAGATTTAGTATATATCGAAAAGTCACCCAACTACTGTGAGGAAGATGCTTCCACAGGGAGCGTCGGTACCCAGGGACGACTCTGCAACCGTACCTCTCCCAATGCGGATGGGTGCGACATGATGTGCTGTGGAAGAGGGTACAACACACACCAGTACACCAAGGTGTGGCAATGTAATTGCAAATTCCACTGGTGCTGTTTTGTGAAGTGCAACACGTGTAGCGAGAGGACAGAGGTGTTCACCTGCAAATAATGGCATCATGTGCAAATGAACAGAACAAATCACCACGAGTGAAGAAAGGGGAGTACAACAAACGACGACAGCATCATTTTGCACATCTAATCTTCTTTGGAAAAAAAACCAACCCAACCAAAACCACAACAACCGCTCCCTCCCCACTACTTACACCTCTAAGGATGGTGCATTTTGGCTGGCTGGCTGTTGTAACTGCTTTGGAAACAAGGGCAACAGGATTAAGGTGACGTTGACAACCACATGACACTTTCTCTCTCTCTCTCTCTTTTTTTTTTTTTTTTAAAACTACAATCTGGGTGTTGCAGAGTTCTCCTAGTAAATGTTTTAAGTTATACATATCAGAGATGCTGATTGCATTGCAGCTCCCATTAAATTTAAAAGACACTTTCTCTTATTTTACAACAACAAAACCACCAAGCCCTGTGCAAATAAAGACTTTTTTTTTTTTAAGGAAGTGAAATCTTCACTGACTATAACACAGCAGTCTTGCTGCAAAAACCTAAATTTCTAAGAAAGCAGGTAGAGAGAAAACAGCTGGTAGGGAGACAAAATCTGTGGCGGAAATACTCCACTATCAGTTTGGAAAAAATAAAGTTCACAAAAGTACATCAGCTGCCAGTGACACTGGAACTCTTTGAATGAACATTAAAAATAATTATTTATGTTTTTAATAGTATAAAAAAATTCTAAGCACTAACGGGTAGCTATGTCTTAATTCTGTACTAAATGTAAACTTATTGGAACTCTGACTTCATGATTTTTTTATTTGGTTCTCCCTAAGTTCTTCAATGCTACTGATCTGTTGTCACTCCACTATTAGAGATTTCAATTACTGTAGGTCTTAAGCAATTACCAGAACTGAGCAAAAAGATCACGTGGAACTGTGGTTACAAATGCTTGATAAAGACTTTTCCCGCTTGCCTCCTGAATAAGAATGACTCTTTTTAGACTCAGGCACAAGGCGTGGAGCACCTGCCCTCAGCCTCAGCTCCTCGTAGGGAGTTTTAGGATACAAAGACATGCTTCGACAAATATCAAAGGTTTGGCTTTGCCGTCAAATGCACTGGCAGGATCTTCCAAGTATTGTGTTTTGCCTTTAACGATTGAAAGTTAATATTACCAATAGTTTTAAATAACTTATGCTCGGTATGAATTGAGAAGTTAATAAAAATGCAGTGGCTGAGCTCTAGGTTGCTGCAACCTGTGAGCTGTGGTGGCTTCATGAGCATAAGAAAGTTAAAATTTGCGTTAGTCTGTGTCATTGTTATTCTAAGGTTGGCAATAATGTACCCCCTGGTAAATACATGAATGTTAAGAAAGAAGCTGACTGTTTACACCAGCACTCAATTCTAATTCACACACCTTATCCCTATGAGAGATTTTAAAAAATCCTCAGATATTTTACTACTGTAAAATCTAGTGATTTCAACCCCAAGAGCCAGATATGCCCACTTTTAACACAGCACATTTAATCACGTAAATGATTGCTAGCAGCAAGGGTCCCTACCTGATTTTCTGAAAACTTGGATTAAGATTTTCATAATGTCTGCATACCTGCCTTTCTAGCTTTTGTTTCATTCATTCATTTGTACTTCTATTGAGAGGCTGCAAAGCCATAAGCCCTCCCCACAAGACATGGGAGCACTTCCCACACCACACAGCACTCTTGGGGCAAGGGGCTGGCGGGGCTACTGCTCCACCAGCTCCCATGCTGGATATGTGAATGAGCCAGGATTACCTCTGTAATTTATTGACCTGTATTATCAAAAGTAACTCATCACCTGGGGACCTTTGTCTGAACACTCATGAGAACCCGCCTTTCTGACCCCAAGCACTTATCCTCTGAAAATCAGTCCCCTTTGATGAGTATCCCATGGAGCAATCCAAAATTAAGAGCTCATTTTTTTTCATTGTTGCTGTTGGTTTCTAACTACCAGCTAGAAATTAAAAACTCAGCCTTGGCGTGTGTAAGTGCAACTTCACAGAAGTCACAGGGGCCCCCAAAAATGCTTGAGTCACTCTATGTAATTTAAAGTCCCTTTGATTCATGGGTATTGTTGAATAATAGTGATATACTGTACTTTCACTACATTCTTGACAGGAAGCAAATAAAGCTCCCAAGCACAGTAATGCACAGTCTTATGGTACTAGATACTGTAAATATATTAGAATAGTATTTGTTAAGTACGATTGAGGAATCCAATTAAGTTATATTATTGTATATCGTTTAAATGTCTATAGAGTATTTTAAATTATTGTGAACTACACTGCGTTAAAAAAAGAAAAAAAAAGGTTATATATTATAACACCAACCACTCTGAAAAGTGGACCAAAGTGACACTTTCTCTTTTTTTTTTTTATATACTCCTATTTCAAATAGCTCTGTCAGCTATTGTAACACCACGGTAACAGTCCTACTATTGGATTAGCTGTCTAGAATATAACGTTTCAGAGCATCCTATAAAAGCTTTGCTTGTGTGGGGGTGCAGCATTCAGAAAAGTACTGCATGGCACAAAGCAGGGGCTGACCACACAAATGCATGGACTTTGAACTATGTCCCAAGAAAAAGCAGTTTTGGTCGGAACACACCATTACCACTAATGTACTGAAACATCCCAAAAAAGGGCAACCTTTTAATGAAGGTGTCTATGAACAGAAGTGGGTTACACACAACTTTTATTTTAAGAAACGTAGTTTGATGTCAAAGAACTGTGACAATAGAGGTTTGAATGCGATCAGCGTTGGTTTAACCATACCTTAGCCATGACAAAGCTCAAAATACTGTATGTTATTAAAGAATTTAAGAGCAAAGATCAATTTGTTTACTATGTTAATGTTTTATGGCAAGCAGTAAACAAAAGATGAAATGTGTTTCCATTAAAACCTAATTTCCCCCCCCCTTCTAGTTCCCTTTCTTCTTGTTTGTTATTCATTTAGAAAAAAGAAAGGAGGCAACAATGCCACATGCAAAGTCCCTTTGTGTGCAGGCGTTTCTGGATGAGAAATAATATGCAGACTCCAAGTCCAAAGCAGTTTTTGTGTTTTGTGAGAGACAGCAATGAATGTGCCTGTGTTTGGTATCACAGCCCAAAGTCAACTACCTACAGCAGTGGTAGAGAGAAACTTACTTTAGAGAGAAACCAACCTTACTGCTACCAGAGACTTGGAGTGGCTCAAAGGAGAAGGAGATAAATGTTTTGTGATAGAAAGGTGGCATCAGACTTCAAAATGGTTCTCGACACATCTGAAAACCTACCCAAATCTGGACCTAAAGGATTTTACAGCATTTAGCTTGGTTAGAATAGTACCAACCTCCTTGAAATCAAGAACACTGTCTTCCTACATGAAATCTAAAGAAAACATACAACCTTTGTTGTATTTGCCCCTCAGGAAAGATATCCAGCTATAGATAAAGGTATAGCCAAATTCCACATGAACTAAGTCCAAAATAACTTCATTAAAATGAACTGAGTTGCCCTGGGTTTATAGCAGTATAAGTATGCACAGCATTTTATCCATGGATGCCAAAAAAAACACTGCACCTTCTTTCTAATTACATCATGGGAAACTTGTTAATAGAGCTGCAGGAAGTTTTTATAGCAAATGGTAACATTACATTCGTTTCTACAATGACATCTGGAAAGTAGATGAAACTCATCAAAAGGTTTGCAAATCTTTTAACAAATCTAAAGCATGTTGTGAGTAGGTCACTTAAAGTTTCAAACATATTTCCGTGGATTTCTTTCTTATTTTAAGGTTAAAACCCAAAAGCGATACTGAAAGTAACAAATCAAGCCTTTTCCTTACACCAGCTTTCCCATGTGAATAACTCAACGTGCCTTTCACTATTGAAGGCACTATTGGTGTTCAGCAGAAAATGCTCTCTGTAAAGCTAGAGATAATTTGCATTCATAGCAATTTTCATAACTGGACAGAATGACTGCACATTTCCTTTCCAATCCTTCAGACCTTTTGTTGCAATGACAGTTCCCACAGCGGTACAGTAAGTGGTACAGTAAAGATCCAACATTCTTCTCGCCGAGTGATGGCCACAATGAGATGTGAGATATACACAAATAAAGCTAAGTCTAAGGGGAAAAAAAAAATCAAAGTTGGAAAGGCAGGGGAAGTTGTAAGCAATTTCAGTTTGTGATACTGATATTACAAGAAACCTCCTGTACGCGAAACAAACCTCATTGTAGGCTGAACTTTACCCACAAACTTTTTTCCCCTCATATCCAAAGTCCCTGCCTGCAAGTCTGCAATTCCAGAATGTTTCATTGGAGAACAAGCACACCCAAAGATGGGTAAGTATCTTCCGTCTGGTGTTTTAGCTGCTATTAGGAAATTGTAGGGTATAATTTTCTGACAGGGGAGATGCAGTTGCAAATTTAAAATTTGCATCTCATTTTTAAATGAAGATCTAGGGTTTTTTTTCACTACATATTCCTGAAATACAGATATCTTTGCTTTAAAAGATTGTTTTGGTGAAGAATAAAGATGGCAGTTTTCACATAATACATGGTTGTTGGTTATAATGCGTTCCACAGAGTGCTGAGGCAGAGGGAATAATACTGCTGTAAATTAAAAAATCTTTAGTCATGTTGTTTTTACTGAAAGCAGTACACTAAATATTACCTGTTTGGAGACCCTAGAGTGATTCTATTTTATAGGATGATCCTTTCCATAACTTGATACTATGAAAGGCCAAAAAAAAAGAGAATAATAAAGTTTACTTTGGTCCTGGGTCCTCTTATTCTTCCTGTAAACAAACCATAAGATCACTGAGGAACCAGCTTAAAGACATTTAAACTTGTGCATACATATTAAAGATGATTAAGATATTTGTTTCGTAGCTGATCCCAAACAAGTGGCACTGCACCAGACACTGGAAATGTTTGCGTGGAAAGCCAGCTGTATGATTAGCCTCTGCCTTCATTTGCCCAGCAATTTAGGGGAAAACCAGCATTTTAGATCCCATACAGCTAAAAGGAATTCCCAAGGAGATTACAAGATTTTGATCTTATTGTTTAATTCCTGTGGCTGAGAATGAAAAGGAGCATTCCCTCAATCTTTGGGTAAAGGGAAACCCAAAGGCATTTTGAAGACTATTCACACCACTCAACTTAAAAGACTAAAAGAGGGGCTAAGTGAGCTGACAGCCTCACTGGACTCCCTCCACAATAGGGAGAGCGAACTTGCTCCAGGGGAGGCATTACTTTAGCTCTGACTGACCC